AAAATCTGTCATACATATGGCAATACAGTACATTGACATCTTTTAATTTTGTGATTTTCCCCATTTGCATAAGCTTTATAAGTTTGTTTTTAATTGGCACATAATAGTTGCACATATTTATTGGATACAGTGTGATGTTTCAATACATATTAGATTGCGTAATGATCAAATCAAGGTAATTAGCATATCTATCACCTCAAACACTTATCTTTTTTTTTTTTTTTTGAGACGGAGTCTCGCTCTGTCACCCAGGCTGGAGTGCAGTGACGCGATCTCGGCTCACTGCAAGCTCCACCTCCCCGGTACGCGTCATTCTCCTGCCTCAGCCTCCCCGAATAGCTGGGACTATAGATGCCCGCCACCATACCCAGCTAATTTTTTGTATATTTGGTAGAGACGGAGTTTCACCGTGTTAGCCAGGATAGTCTCCATCTCCTGTGACAACACTCCAAGTTCTCTCCCGTTATTTTAAAGTATACAATATATTACCGTTGACTATAGTCACCCTACTGTGCTACAGAACACCAACTTCTCATTTCCACTCCACAACACTCTCCCAAGCCTCTGGTAACCACTATTCTACCCTCTACTTCTATGAGACGACCGTCTTTAAATTCCACATATGAGTGAGATCATGCAGTGCTTGCCCGTCTGTGATTAGCTTATATTCACTTAACATAACGTCTTCTAGGTTGGTCCACGTTGTTGCAAATGACGGAAGCTTCTTTTTTTTCTTCTTTTGTTTTTTTTCTTTTTTTTTTATTTTTTATTATTATTATACTTTAAGTTCTAGGGTACATGTGCATAACGTGCAGGTTTGTTACATATGTATTTTTTTTAATGGAATCAAAGCTTAGTGATTTCTTAACCTACTTGTTAGTGTATCATCTGTTTCCCAATCTCAATCTCAAAGAGTCACTTCTATATTCCACTGGACTTTGGCTGTTTCATTTATTTCCTTTAGCTCTTTAAAAACGCATGAAATTTCCTTTGGGCCATGTGAACTGAGACTATAAAGTCTTTTTTTTTTTTTTTTTTTTTTTTTGGTCCAAACAGCAAAAACAAACAAACAAGCAAACAAAAAAACCAAAAAATCTTTATACCATCTACTGGGGGATTAAACATGTCCTGAATTACTTGCGGTACTTTATCATACAATAACTTCATCAGACCTTTATAGTGTCTATTATCAATTACAGACACTATTTAAGTAACACTTAGAGTAACTTAAGAATTTCCACCTTCATTTTGAATATGATCACATTAAAATATGTCAAATTCTTAGGGAAGTTTTGTTGTTGATTCTGTTGGGCTTTCTATGTATAAATCATGTCTTTAGAAAATAAGAGCTACCTTGTCTCCTCTATTACCAATCATATATTTTAGTTTTGGTTTTACATCTATTACCAGGTTATGGATCTACCTTTTACTGTTGGTTTTCTAAGAAAGTAAGTGTGTCTCTGTGTGATGTGTGTGAACATGGTTTAGCTTCACTCTGGCCTCTCCATTGTTGAGAACTCTGTTAAGTGAGAGGCAGTCAAGTATCACATTAGGAACACAAAAACATCCCTTTAGGGCACCACAGACCAAACCACAGCCACTAACCACATATAAGTGTTTAAATTTAAATTAATAAAAATTAAGTAAAATTAAACGTTCAGTTCTTCAGTTACACTCATCGCATTTCAGGTACTCAGTGGCCATATGTGGCTGATGACTCTCCCACTAAATGGAGCAGATGGAGAACATTTCTCTCATCACAGAAAGGTCTTCTGGGCAGCACTGGTCTAGCTGTCTCTAAGAGCCACAGAACAATGGCCAGGAATTCCATTCCTCTATCCTTTTCTTTTTAGGCACATTATATTTCAGTATAGTCTTACTGTGTTAGAAAAGGTTATTCAGAATTTTAAATCCCAAAATATGTTTTTTCTGGCACATATTTTCCTAAGCCCTGTATTTTCTTAGACATCTGGCTGGACTCTCCTTCTTTCTTATCCCAATGCACTATTCTTGGAAATCATATGCCTTCCCTTGGCTACAACAAGCATCAAAATACTAACAAGTCTTAAATGTGCACATCAACTCTCAGTCTTTTCCTTGAGTTTTTGCATTATATTTTCCCTCTGCCTATTGCACATTTACACGAGTTAACCTTAGCTATCTTGCAGTCACCTGAAAACCCAAATCTTCACTAATCCTCTTTTTTTTCTCTCCCTACCTCAGTTAACGTATTTATTTAATGTTTTATTTAGCTAGTATATTCCAGAGAAGGTTGTAACCCCTCGTCCTTTTTACACACCAGGGCTACAGGCTCAGGGCATCCTTAAGACTGGGATCAGGAGGAAGCATGGGAGGGATCTAAAGTGATTTGTAAACTCGGATACTGACAACAGACCAGATTCAAGACTGCAGAGCAAAGACTGACCAAAAACACAGACTGGATGAGGTGGCTAAGAATCCTCTCTTTTCTCTTCTAAGCTCAAAGCTCATAGAAATAGTAAAACCCTGATAAATAAGGAGGTACCCAAGATGGTGAAAGGCCCCCCAACACTGCTGCCACAATAGGACAATCTTCAGATGTGGGTCCAGTTCTGTTCCAGTTCCTCCTGGCTAGACACACTCAGGACAAGAACACCACTGTGGGCACCTGGAGCCACTTAAGGGCTGCTAAAGAGATCAAGCTAATAAGAAAAAGGGATGCTCCCATAGCCAAGCTATGCCAGTCCAATGGAAACATAGAGAAGCTACCATGAAATGTTCTGGACCAGGGAAAAGACTGAAACACAGTCTCTGGGTCTTCACCTCAAGCATATTCCAAACACATTTTAAAAAGCACCTGACCCACCATATACTAAATTGTTGTATGCTATTAATTACTAAATTATTCCACTGTGTTTAATGAATCCAGACATTACCAACAATGTGTGTGTGTAAAATATATAACTTATGCAAACAAGTACATTTCATAACCATAAAATTAAATCCTCATTTAAATAATCCAAACTACTGCTTTGTCTCATAGTATGGGTGGTTGGGAGGTTATTCCAGTCAGGTAATACTTGTTTTTCTCATCACTTCATCTCTGGTTTTTTTTAAAAACAGGACATCCTGGTATGTTCTAAAATGGTATGTATTACAAAACTTGGCAGAATTTAATAATCTCTTCATATGAAGTTAATTCTTATAATTCAATTTGTTTTTTTCTTGAGGACAAATTTCCTACACTGATTACATATCCTCTCCTTGTTCGTTGTATTTTCCTCTTTCACATCATTTTTCATTCACATTGCCTCTTTTCAGTTCTTTCTGTCTCTCTGGTCTTCAGTTCTTTTATTCAAAACATAAGAGGTCGCACCCTCTTTGTCTTCCTGTTTGTCTATGTATTTACTTCAAAATAAATAGATATAAAAATATAGAGTATAACTGCAGTTTTCCAAGTAAATATTGACATGCATGTTCACTGCATTTAAACTTATCATAATAAGCATTTACAAAAATATGTTAAATTTATAGCAGTGGTAACTTTAGGATAAACCACTATGTATGGTGAAAATCAGAAACTCATTCATAATTTCTGCATTAGCCTTTTCCAAAACAAATATTTTACATCTTATTTTTAATTTACTAAAATTTTCAATAACTTCAACTTTCTGAGAATATCTGATTGCATTTTACATAGATACAAATTCTCTATTGTGTACTCAGTTTTATTTTTCCCTCTTTTTTTATTAGTAAAGACATTAACAATAAAATAGGCTCACTTGCTCCAGCTGGTAATTTCTCATACTAGTAATATATTATTCCTCTTTTTGTGACATCATAATCATCTATACAGAAGTACCATGTATCTTTGTGTAGAAGCTACTGTTTCCATTAAATTTAATTACCTCCCCCTGTGGTTTTAAATAGAAGTGGCTTCAAAATGAGGGCAGCTTCTATTAAATTTAATTACTTTCTCCTGCTGCTTGCATGGTAAAAGGAAGGTTACTAAATGAGAGCAGCTTCTAAACTAAAGTATATGGTAACTGTGTGCTGGCAATAACAAAATTGTATCTAAACTACCTTTCTAGGAAGCCTCTTAGGTTTATCCTTTCTCTCATTTTAATCTTTTTAGCCTTAACATCCTTGAAAAATGAGCATTAAGACAGAAGAAGGCATATTTTTAAAATCTATTTTAATTTTATAGGCTAAATAAATATAAATATACTGTTTCTTTACAAAGATATTGGAAATTATGCTACTCAAATATCCAAGCTCAGAACTTTTAAGACTACTATCATTTGTTGTTTTCTCACTTTAAGGATGATGAGTTTTATTTCCCACACATTTTTAATGTCTAGTAAAAAGCCTTTCTGGATTCTGATCAAATAGATTTGAAAAATGCTTCACTAAAAGTTATTTAAAAGGCATCAAATTTGGGACAATTTCATATAAATATTCAGAATTACTGATGTTAAGAAATGAAAAAAGAAACAAGTCAGGGTCCATTATAGACCACTGTAGTTGAAAGGAAGTTAATTATATGCTTTGTAATAGTGCAAAAATGTAAATCACTAAAAATACTATAATATAATATAATCCTATAAAATGTTATAGAAGATGAAAATGTAAGTACCTCTCTTTAAATTAAATATGAATTAGGAGGAAATACTACTCAGTTAAAGCACCATTGTACAATTTTTTTTTATATATACAGGCAGAATTTAGATGAACAATATTTTCATTCAATCACACAGTTTAGTATAAATATAAAACAAGACACCCCTTAAGCATTTTAAGTAACAAATTAAACATTTACATTTTTTACTGTGCACTGAGGCTTAACATTTATGCAGCTTCAAAACCAAAGTACAGCCTCAAGGGAAGTCTCTCCACTGACAAATTAATACCTTAGAGAACAGAGCTGAATGGTGGCAATGAACTCATTTGTTCCCCAAATAATGAAGAATGACTTTTTCTTTACCACATCTGTGACTGTTGCTATGGTGACCCAGACTTACCTCATTGCTTCTCGGAGAGCTCCTCGCTCACCAAGAGTCGTGTGCTTGATGTCATCAAAATTATTCTCTAGCTTCTCACAATTCTGCAACATATTTAAAAATTGCATTAATTCTCTAAGATCCTGAGAAAAATTATATCTATGCAGCTATGCAAAAATGTAATTGATTATATTGATCATGGACTCATGAAAAATATGCATACCACTTTAATTGGGTAGGATTCATTAAAATTGACAGTTAAATCCAACAGAAACAAAATAAAAACATTTTATGATACAGCTGTCACAGAAGTCTCGTTATCAATTTTTCAAAGTGGAGTCTCATTATCAATTTTTCAAAGTGGATAAACACAAGAAATGAATTTATAAAAGAAGGAAAACTTCTTAAGTTTGGAGGAATAAAAATTAGTTCTCTAAAATAATCTTAAGTATAGAAAATCCAATTTAAACTCAAAAGAGAAAACCATTAGAGTAAGTTTTAAATCACCATAAACAGTATACAATACCAAGTTCTAAACAAGTTAGCACTGACTAAGATGAAGGTATAGAGCACAGATATAAAAGTATCAAAATTTTTGAATCAAAATTTTATAATCAGATCTTTAAATAACAATGTTAGGTGTAATATTTACAACTGTTCATATATATATATACACACACACACACACACACACACACACATATATTTGAAACTAAGTAAGTCCAATGCTTAAAATTAAGTGAAAATTAGATCAGGTTCTTAGAAGAATTTTAAGTTTAGATTGGAGTAAATATGACATAAGCAAGTTTACATTATCACAATAGATTGTTTCTTAACCTTTGTGTATAATACTACATAGCAATACCAGACAGATATTTCCAAAAGTACTCTTAAAAAAATTTTACTACAATTCGTCACAATATGAATTATGTAAAACCTTAAAAACTCTCACTTAGATCTGACAGTTACCAAAGGTTTTGAGGGCATAAAATTGTAGAAATTTTATCTTTATATATTACTATATATATAATTCATAATATAGAATATAGTTGCCAATTGATCATACTATTATACTGATATACTCTCGCTCTCAATTATATATAGAAGTGTCAGCTGAGTATATTATATATATATATATATATGATGAATCCTTTTGCACCCTAGATTTCTTTCATGGAATTTACTGGGTATTTAGGTAACAAAATAACTGGATTTAGTGTATTAGTTAATTTTACAAAAAGAAAAACTAAATAACAAAATTTTAGTATTAATATGTTCTTTCTATTCTTGCATAAGTATGCTGAATTCTACAAAATTACAAAAATTATATTAATAATTCCCAATGTATAAGAATTGATTTGAAATATATTGGTATATAAACCACTATTTTTAACTTTGACATTTTTTAAAACTAGGTCAAATTAAGGCAAAGATCCTTTTAACAAACACATACAGTTGTATACTGTCATAATTAAAATCTTTGAAATTACCAAAATTAATCTAAAATATTTAAAATTATATAGTTTTCAAGAATCCTTTTTGGGTGTATACATTAAAAATATCCTCTTTTGTTTCTTGTGTTCTCACATTTTTAGAAGTGTCTTTTCATGAAGATAATTGCTTAGCTGAGATCAAATTTGTTATTTTTCTAATTTAAGTATAGTGTATTTGTGACCTGTTAAAGAAATTTAAAAACTTTCTCAAAGTTATAAATGTTGTTGCTTGAGACCATTAAGAAAAAATATATACAATTTTTTGTTTCTTTTTGCCCCTGAAATTCCCCATCAGCTTCCCCCTCTTTGCCAATCCTACAGCAATTTTTTTACTTTTTATTTTTTTAAATTATACTTTAAGTTGTATGGTACATGTGCACAACATGCAGTTTTGTTACATAGGAATACATGTGCCATGTTGGCTTGCTGCAGCCATCAACTTGTCATTTACATTAGGTATTTCTCCTAACGCTATCCCTCTCCCAGCCCCCCACCCCCAGACAGACCGCAGTGTGTGATGTTCCCCACCCTGTATCCACATGTTCTCATTATTCAATTCCCACCTATGAGTGAGAACATGTGGTGTTTGGTTTTCTGTTCTTGTGATAGTTTGCTGAGAATGATGGTTTCCAGCTTCATCCATGTTCCTACAAAGGACATGAACTCATCCTTTTTTATGGCTGCATAGTATTCCATGGTGCATATGTGCCTCATTTTCTTTATGCAGTCTATCAATAATGGACATTTGGGTTGGTTCCAAGTCTTTGCTATTGTGAATAGTGACACAATAAACCTATGTGTGTATCCTACTGTAGTTTTTAACTTGGGCCTCCGCCACTGTAGAGGAACAAATTCATAAAATAATTAAATAAATAACAAAATTAGTGGACATAAATTTTTTAAGATCCATTCCTAGCATAAACAGCAGGGTTGGAAGATTACTTGACTATCTAGTTTTTCTAGCCACAGAGACAGGAGATAAACGCATTCTTGGATTAAAATAAGAGCAAGAAGGCTGGGCGCGGTGGCTCATGCCTGTAATCCCAGCACTTTGGGAGGCCGAGGTGGGCAGATCACGAGGTCAAGAGACAGAGACCATTCTGGCCAACATGGTGAAACTCCGTCTCTACTAAAAATACAAAAATTAGCTGAGCGTGGTGCACGCACCTGTAGTCCCAGCTACTCAGGAGGCTGAGGCAGGAGAATCCCTTGAACCCAGGAGGTAGAGGTTGCAGTAAGCCAAGGTCGCGCCACTGCAGTCCAGCCTGGCGACAGAGTTAGACTCCATCTCAAAAAAAAAAAAAAAAAAGAGAGAGAGAGAGAGAAAGTAGACACGTGGGCACACAGAGCCTGTAGTAGCCACACTGAGTAGCCACACTGAGCTTTCAGTGATGCCAGGAATGGAGGACAGCCAAATTTCTGATTCAGCTGAAATATCGTGTTCCAGAGTACCTTCACTATAATGAGAAGCAGCCTCAACCTTAATAATAACTTTATCAGGAAGTGGTTAAAATGGCATATTCTGCCTTGATGTGGAATAGGAAACCCAAAATGAGTATTAAGCTAACTAACAGAAGAACGAAAGCTCCATGTTTCACACTTTGTGTCTGCATAAAGTTTATTATGCCCAACAGAACAATAAAGGAAATAAGTAAGCACTGCAGCATTTAAACAGTTAACTATTACCTTGAATAAAAATACTTCTGTATACAAAAATTGAAATCAAATCTATTTTTTATGCTTCAAAGAACCATATATAGAAGCACTAAGTATCAGACACATGATTTGAATTATATTTCAGACAATATTAGACTCTTGCCATATAGAATAAGTATTTCAAGCAACTAACATCTTTATCTGCTCAAACTTCTCCATAAATAAAAGTAAGCATCAAATATCCACTGAGTAAAGGGCAAACAGATTCACTGTCATGTTCACCACCAATAACACTTATCTAACATTAGGGACAACTGTAGTTTGTAACATTGAGCCACCGGCCTCCCATCAAAATCTGTTCTCAGCCCAGTTTATGTGAGCATGGATCTGAGAAAAACTGTAAATTATTTATAATCAACAAGTATTAATGTTATTCATTCTTGGAGATTCTATAGGTTAGTATAGGACTGTCCCAGAATATGATTTCAGTGATAAGTATGACATAGGGGACTTACTTTACAGGATAGGAAAGTTCACAAAAATTCAAAAAAGTTATCTTATTTGTGGTAGTTGCTTGTGATTTCCCCCCTTCAAGTGCCTCCTAATTTCCTTTGACCAATATAATCGCATGAGAAACCTACAACCATCAAAGCAGAAAAAAGGAAAAGGCAACGGGTAAAAAGAGAAAAGGGGACAGAGAGAATGAACGAATAAACTACTCCTGAGAACAGCAAGCAGAAGAACAAAAATAATCAGTGATTAGTAATAAAATACTGTAACAAAAAGCAGGCCTGCTAGCCTAGACAACATGGAGCAAGAAAGTGGGAATACACAGGAAAAATGGAAGGTCACAAAGGTATTAAATTTAATGCCGACCAGACATGCCATATAATGTAATAGGCACAGGTTAGCTCTAATTAATTAGTAGAAAACTGAAAATTCAAAAAAAATTGTAGCAGCAACCATGGTACGCATTATACCTTTAATATATAATGTATATTGTGTGTGTGTGTGTGTGTGTGTATTAATTATAGTAAACCAGTTAATATTGAGTAGTTACTCTGGGTTAGGTACTTTTTCTAGGAAATCTAACCATTTAATCTGCATGACAACCATATGTATTCCTATTTTACAAATGAGAAAACAACCACAGGGGAGATTAAGATAACTTGCCCAGGGTCATATAGCTAGTAAGGGATAAAGCAGGGATTTGAACCCAAGTAGTCTAGCCTCAGAGCCAGACTCAAACTCCTCACGAGACTGCTTCTAAAGAGTAAACTGCATAAGCGAATATAATAAAGTTCTGAATAGGCTTTCCTTTAGGTGTCATCAAATTTAAATACTGAGCTGGATGCATAATAGTTTACTAGTAGAGTCAAACGGAGCAGAAGCTCTTGCAGGATTCTGTCTCACATCTGTCTGAAAGTGCTATACTTTATAATGTAGAAAAATATGGAATCCAATATACACATTTAGGCCAAATTAATACCCATAAATATTTTGCATGCAACAGTCTTTATTTGGGTCTGTGACACCACCGTGACAAATATAATGAGCAATTAAATTCCTATGTGTTCAGATTTTGGCAGCAATTAAAGTAGAAACTGGAAACTAAGCATCAAAAAGAACTGGTTTTGGTGGCCTCCTGCCAAATGAATCCCCATGGGTTGAGGGAAGGTCTAGAGTTTCAACTGTGATAGATTTCATAGTATTTTATATCTCATCTGTGTTGAGGATTCTATAAAAGTATAATGAAACAAATAAGTAGAACACGAACAGTCACATGAAAGAAAATAATATACAAGGAAATTTATGAACACTGATAAATTTAAATAAAATTCACTGAGTTATCTTTGCTCAAATTATACCAAAAAAAAAAAATCACAAAATTCAACCAAATATCTACTGATTCTGGAGGTAGAAACAGGTGCAAAAAAAAAAAAAAAAAAAAAAGA